AGCAAAGGGTCTGAATATTTAGGACCATGTGATATTTCAGTTTTTGTTTTTTAATAAATCTGCAAAAATGTCAACAATTCTGTGTTTTTCTGTCAATATGGGGTGCTGTGTGTACATTAATGAGGAAAAAAAATTAACAAATGATTTTAGCAAATGGCTGCAATATAACAAAGAGTGAAAAATTTAAGGGGGTCTGAATACTTTCCGTACCCACTGTACATATAACATATAAATATACACAGTACACACATATATTGTGTAAACACAAACTTTTATTTTGGATGCGATTAATCGATTTGACAGCCCTAATAAATATATGAACTGCATGTTTCAGAGCGAACCTTGGCACAAGGTCTTCTTTTGATGGTTTAACATAAAAAAAAAAAAAGAAGAAATCAAGCAAGCTCATAAATTAGTATTGTAATTTTAGTTTTACTGTAAAATAAAATTATTTTATTCATTTTCTTAATCATTTTTATATTTTATACATATTACAATAGCATTTTTTATTTATTTCTTTAATATTTGTAGTAATAATAAACAATATTAACACAAAAAATACTTTTATTATATTCCTTTAATACTCTTTTTAATACCCCAAATCGTGCAGCCCTTGTGTCTTCACATACTTTCAAATCATGTACATATAGCAACACCAGCTCATTCAGCGCGAGACACCGAAAACCAGCAGACTCGCAAAGACGTGCTACCTTCTCCCTTGAAGCAGAAGGTGGCAGTGGGGAAGTGTTGATGAGCATGTTAGGAGGTGTGTTTGTCTCTCATACCAGGCCCGGGAGGAAGCCCTCAATCAGCTGGCACTGGGACAATTACAAAGACGGCCATATGGTCTCTCAAACAAGGCCTTTAGCCAACGGCTCCATGCGGCACCATTCAGCCTGCAAACCATGGTGCGCAACAATCTCCCGATTTCCCACCAGGCAAATCGCCCAATTGTCTGGTTGATCTTTAACAAGAATAGAAGGACAATAAATCTGAAATGTTCATTAGGAACGCTATAAAAACTTAATTAGGATTACGGTGGAAATTAATGAAGGTTAACAGGGAATGATGTGTAACAGTGCTCGCAAGACAATGCACTTAAAGGGTCGCCATTAAATTGGGATTTAAATCGATGGCGTGGCATTGGCATGGCTGTTCTTCAAGCCCAACCAATCAGCTCGCTCATCACTGGTACTGATTACGATCAATGAGACTCCACTGAAGGCTGCTATCTGTCCGTGACCGTGTGTGTGAGTGCGGATTCCTCCGCTGTCTGCCAGTATTGAGTCTCTACTCAATGTCTGATCACAGGACGAACCTTTCTGGCTCTTGTGAGTATTCTCTATGGGACCACCCCAACCCCACCAGCCTAACTAAACTCCATGTATTATTCAAGAGATTTAGCTGTGGTGGATCAAGAGGTTTTGACACCTACGGTGCTCCGAGACACGAAATCTAATGCAGGGTTAACAGAGGGTTTACATGAAAGATTGTTTCACACTGCAAATCACTTGTTTGACTGTTTGTTTTATGTATTTCATCACCTGATGGCTTCAGGTATCACCAAAACTCGTCAGATCTATGACTACTTAACGTTTTAAAAAACACTAAGAGGTGTATATTAAGTTTTTTTTTTTTTTTCACAAATAGACAAAAAATGTATTTTCTAAGTTGTAAATAAAAGAGATTACTGGAGTACGTTTTACAAGAAAAAAAACGATATATATATATATATTTTTTCTTCCTTGTAAAATAATCTCCCATTGGTTGGTCAAACACACTTTGTTGGGAAGGTTACTTTGGAAATAACAAGCTACAGATTACAAAATTACAATTTAAAATGTAGTAAGTATTGTAACTATTTCAATTACTTTATTAAAGTAATGTAACTGATTACATTTTATTACTTTTCTAAATTTCCAACTAATGTTTTCAACAGTTAATCATTTTCAAACCCTTAAACCAGGCAGAGTTATTCTTACAGTAGAACTCAACACTGATTACTGTCAGACTTACTAAATCATTCATCGCTTGAATTAAGATTATAATAATTTAATTTTAAAGCACAGCCACCACAAAATCAGACTTTAGCACCTCTTTTTACTTTGAGTTATAATACAGATCTAAAATCATAACAAGAAATAGATTTTTTTTTAATAGCTATGATACTGTTTTTAAAATCAAATCTTTGCATAGCTATGACAGGAAACACTGGCATCTAACAATGACTTGGAAAAAAACAGTTACTGAAACTCCTGAAACATTGGTGTCTCATATTTTAGAGCAGTCTATGCACTTTGGAAAAGATATCAATTTAATATGTATGTGTGTGGAAATATTCAGATGTAACCTCTTTTGTAATCATTAACATTTTCATAAGTAACTAATTTAATTACATATTTTTTCTCAGTAACTGTAACAGATTACAGTTACATTTATTTTGTAATTAAATTGCGTAATGCCGTTACATGTAATTAGTTACTCCCCAACACCGCACACAAACACATAACCCCGCCTCCAGACTCACACCATTGGTTGTGCACATTGTTGTGTTGGGATGGTCGGTTGGTTTTACATAAAAAAACATTTTAAATAAACACTTTAAATTTGAACATTTTACACAATATTTAAGCAAAATTCACTCAATTTTTTGAAAACAGGAAAATGTACAATTTACTTTTTACGTTACTTGTTACTCGTAGACTTACATTAATCATCCAATGCAGATAAACATAGGCTTTTTACTAAAGTACTGTCATTTAAATAACTCACCGGATCTGTTGGTTCCTCTAAAGACACAGAGCTTAGAAGAATCTTGCTCCGTCCCAGGTCTTGCGAGTCCACCTTTATAAGGCGATGTTTTGGCGAAACAACCTTGATATCCAGACTTGAGGATTTTAGAGGAGAGCCGAAACCCATGTGGGACGTTTCAGTCGACCCATTGTCATTTCTAGCCCTGTTCTCAAAGTCTTCATATGGGTCTTCAAAGTCAAGGTTCTTCTGTGCACGATACGCCTTCAATATCTCACTCTCGCTGTAGTCTGGTTTTGGCGGTTGCGGGGGAACTCGTTTGCTCCCAAAACTTAAATAGTCCTTTAACCACTTTGCCATTCTATTCTGTTTGTGAATATCCAACAGTGAAGGACACAAAGACTCCAATGGTCCTCAAAGTGTCCAACGGTGACCTATAATGAGGTCAGGGATCTAGAATATGGATGAGATTAGTTGTTTATCCACAAGCTAAGCAGAATACCTTGGAAATAATGCACTGAATTCATGTTTCAGTTCAAAGGCACGAATGTGGTCCTCAAACAAGGTCGATCCCTGGATATACCGACCTGGATTTAGAGGTGGTCCATGGACGGCAATGATCTTGATGTTCTCAACACCTCTGCAACAGCAGAAATTAACATTCAGGTATAAGATATATGCATGTGACGGAAAGAAAAATTATTTATTCAGCTAATAATATACACATTGTTAAATCTGAGAAGTATTTTTCATATATACATATATGAACAGTCTTCTGATGAATATGATGTCCTACCACAGACCTGTCAGAAAATGATTAGAGATCAGCTGCTAGATAGATAGATAGATAGATGAGATTTTTACTTTGGTAGATAGTAAAACTGCTTGGAAGATGAGCAGTTGCAACAAGCGGTTTAAGAACAAAAGCAAACAAACTAGAGGATTCGCACGTGCTTCTGATACGCACAAAAAAACATTTCAATTCGACTATAAGAAGAAATTATTTCACAAAACCTGAACATTAACATTAAATTTCGATTAAGAACAACTGAAAACGAGTAACTCTATGAGATAACAGCTGAGAACTTCTCTTGTAAACTAAACGTGAACGCGCGTGAACAGTCGCACTTCCAAGTCAACGTTAAACATTTCACAGCTGACATGATGAACACTTCATCTAAAATATCACTGTAGATGATTTGAGATGAAATGAAAAGCTGATGATGAGACCAAGTTGTGATACTCACGTTTTTGAATTCAGCATTAAATTATCGTGGAACTCCAGACGCGGTACGAATGTTACAGTGTCGCACGAGGACAACAGCACACGCGCCGATAATCTGATGAAGAACTCGCTCACCGCTGGAGAACAGACGAGAAGAAGACGAGAAGAACATGAAGCTCGTCTAAACGCGTCTGGTTGTAAGTGAGCGAGAGGGAGAGAGACAGACTGAGCGAGAGAGCTGTAGCGTTTAAAGGGGAGGTCCTTACATCCAGCGGTGCTGTATTTTCGCTTTAGCCGATCATTATTAGAAGCTGTATGGCACAGATTTGAAAACATGTATGCTTATTGTAGGTGTATTATGTTGCCATAGTTTAAGATTGATTACTGTTAACAGCATTAAATAAATAAACAAATAAAAATACACATTTTTCCACTCCAGTGAATATTTCTCAGAGTTGGTTAATTTTTGAAACTCAGTTTGTTTGGTCTTTACTACAGAAAAAAACACACACACACAGATGGTCACACTAATGGGGTAAGTTGTCAAAGTGGCAATTAAACAGACTCTTATAGCATAATTTAATGACATTTTATGAAAATAAACTAAATTAACTGGACTTCTTACTCAAAACCTTTTTACTGAGATATAGTCTTATATAACTGTGTGACAACTAGCCTCTGCCTGCCATAATGCTGCAAGCCTGCAACTATTGTCATAATCTATTAATTTATTTGTTTATGTTACTAGAAAACTAAAAAGAAAAATTGAAACAAACAGAACTTTAAGATAGATAGATAGATAGATAGATAGATAAAGACAGGCAGATAGACTGACAGACGGACAGATGGACAGACATATAGACCGACATTAGATAGATAGATAGATAGATAGATTCTGATTAATTAAGGGAAAGCAGCTCCTCAAAGTTTTCACACCTGTGATCCGCTTTGACAGTCTCACATGAATCTGACAGACTCACCAAAGTGTTAATGATGTGAAGGTGAAGGTGTGTGTAAGTGTTTTGCACACCAAAATCCTCCTCAGTTACACATCTGGAGACTTAACGCGGAGGGAGAAAGTCATAAAACTGAGGCCCAGGGCTAATCGTTTACAACACACAACAAATAACAAACGCACATCTGTGCCGCTAGCTTGCGGTTGCCGTCCTCTCATACAGATGTCTTAATGTTCTTCAGATGCTAATTGAATTCAAAGAAGAAGCAGATGACATTGTCAGCATATATATATATTTTTTCCCATGCTGTTAAAACGTGAACCTGAAAATCTCACTATATAAAGACACTGTTTATACGACAGCAATGATCTCACTCTCTCTTTCTCCCACATGGAGGGAAGGATGAGGTCATAGCAGACGCCATCCGCCACCCCCTCCATCCCCAGCCAGCGTCGACACACATCTTCCCCTCACTTTTCTAAATTGCCCCTTTCAAACGGGGACATGTTAGAGAGAGGAAGGGCCTCCTGGGACAAAGAAAACGCCAGTACAGAGAGGGAAATTGCCCCTTTCTAAAGAGAGACAGAAGGGAATAGGAAAAAGTTTAATATATGATTTGAACATTATACACTTAAATGTGCATTTTTGTACCAGTAAATGCTCTCAAACCATTTGTATACATTCAGAATATATAACGTTTTTTTTATATTAATGCTTTAGCAGTGCAAATGCTTTTTTTAAATATGAGGCCGCTAATCCCAATTTTTGATTTTTGAAAAGTAAATCTGGAATAAAAGTCACTTTTACATACACAATATGTATTACTTCTTAACGGAATATGAGAAGTATGTGATAATGAAATATTTTAAATAAATTAAATTAAATATTAAACTATAAATTTATTTTAAATACATTAAATGACAAATTATATTTAAATGAATTTTAAAATGACAGATATTGCATTTTCAGGTCGGGTTTATTTATTTTATTATTATATTTATTTTGTATTTTATTTACATTGTTGTAAAAAACTACTGTATCTATAAAATACATATTATAATATATAATGTAATACATTTTTTTTTTAAACATAAAATATATTGCATATACATTGGATTACACTGTATATGTCCTATTGAATTGCACCAGCCAATATGAACAAGCGCTTAGTATTTATCGCCCCCAAGTGGTCGCTCATATGTGTTGCCACATCTGAACACTCACTATGTATTTGTTTCTTCACAAAAATCTTACAGTACTAACATAATTATTACAGTGTGTTATATGCACTTTTATTGATTAATCAACTATATAATCGATAATACTATGGGTGAATTAAAACATAGCATAATACTCACCACCAGCTAAAGAAAATAATCATTTGGGCTCCAAATGAAATATGCAATGCAATATTTGCGCTCTACAGAAGCACTGACTGGCCGTTGATTGGCTTATATTTATTATTATTTTATATATATATCTTACATAATTCATATTAAAGTCAGCCTCTTATTTTATTATTTAACACTGTTTTATATATATATATATAAAAAGAGGCGCGTTTGGTGAAGCGCGCATGACACCTGAAGTTTGAAACGTGTGGTGCGCGAACCTGTCAATCAAGACTCTACTGCCCGCCCCTCGCCGCTGATTGGTCGGATTTCGTGCCCAGTCAGCCAAGTCCAACAGGCGTGTGTTCTGCACATGACGTCAGGGCATCCCACCACAGGACATCCATACAGCAGACCTGAGGAAAGCAGAAGAACACCACCAAACATCAAACACTGAATGTAAGTCATTTTGCATTGATCTTGATTTATTTAATGTCTTCTGTATAAAGCTTCCGTATTTCTATGACTTCTAGTGTTGAGTCTTCAACAAGCATGTGCTTAGAGCAAGAATGATTATTCAAAATAAATAATTATACAAAATAAACTAAGTTGCTATTGATTTAATGCCAGATATATTGAACGCATTAATCATAGAAACTTCTGTATTTATTCAAATTTTATAAGACTTTCAGGAGGCATGTGTGTGTGTGTGTGTGTCTGTGTGTGAAATAGTATATTTGAATTTCCTAATATACATAAAATGCGTTTTATTCATTACAGCTCATGAACATACTTTAAAACAAGATGAAAACATTAAAAGCAAAGTTCAAGAAGTCAGAGGTAAGAACCCGTCCCGTGCTAAGTATGCTAGTCTTCCTACTTCAGTATGTTTGCCTATTAATATGAGCCATTATGTTTCCAAAACTGTTTTATATAGTACCTAAGTTGTTGAGTATTTTGGTGACTTGTTGCTTTGTATGTGCAAATGTGTTTTAGCAGTAGAAGAGCAGGCCAGCCTGCAGACGGCACCTGAAACCAGAGACCTCTACTAGTGTTCAATTATTGAAACACATTCATTCACTCACACTCACATACTCAGTATATGATGTATTCTGCGCTTTTCATTGTTTAATTTAGCATTAGAAGCTTTTATGGACCTTCATCTTCACTAATATTATTAAAACATTATGTTATTGGATCTGAGCCCATGTGTGAAGGCGAAATACACCATCCTAGTGTTCTGAATGAAGAGTGTGTGTTTTTCCCCGACTGAGGTTGTGTTGGGATGAACAGATAGATGAGCCACTGTGGGGGAGAGAAAGTGAGCTGGATGTTTTCTCTTTGTTTTTATCCTATCTTTCATCCAAAATTCATGTCTGGGTTAGATGTCCACATACTGTCTGCTTTTGGTGGGGTCATAAAGTCAACATAGATATATGTGAGTGTGTTAGAAAAGTTGCATTTGTCTAAATGGGTGGATATTACTAATTCAGAGAAAAAAAAATCTAATAAAAATATATTTTGCATGAAGGAAATTAAACAATTTTTTCCGTAATTTCTGTTATTCTCAGTGGCGATTCTCAATATACAATATAATGCAGTATTTATAATGTATTACAGTAGAAAAAAATGAACATGCAACCATAATCCCTCCAGCCGCCCACACACAGTTGTCATCTCTGTGTGAACATGACTCCATGGGTTTGAGGGGCCGCTCAATCCTCCATGTCTACTATGTCTGACTTTATGTCTCCAGTTCAGGCCAACCACATCAAAACCGAAAGCCCAAATGACTTTTGTCTACTGAACACCAATCATATCTGAGCATGTCGGCCCACATACATCCAAGCATACACAGTATGACACAGTATGAAATACACTTCACAGTATGACACAGTATGAAAACTACCTTAAATGAGTAACTTAAATATTTACCACAGAAAACAATTTGACTCATACCTCAGTTTAAAAAGAAAACTTTACAGCAGTGTTATGTTATGTACTATTACAGTATTTATTAATATTTTTAAATTACTTTATTTTTTATAAATATTAAATATTATATTATAATATATAAATTATAAATGAAATTATAATATACAAATATTATATTTATATATGCATTTGTCTTTTTTAATTTTTAAAAAGTTTTTTTTCACTTATTTTTATTTCAGTTTTAGTAATTTTAGAACTTCAACTTAAAATTTTCATTTAAGTTTTTTAAGTTAAAGTTTTCCATCTAATATTTATATTTTATTTTATTTCAGCATTTTTTAATTGACAATTTTTTAAAATAGATTTAGTGTTATAGATTAGAGTTAATAAGCAATAACAACACTGAATGATTTTTTTTTTTTTGCAAAAATTGGAGACAAGTTATCATCGTCTAATCAAATCCTGCATGATGGTTAAAATCAAGTCCTGGCCTACATTTGTTTATTGTTGAATGTTTAACTCGAAACATGTCACATTACAGAAGTAACATGTTTTAACCAACCAGCCCAGTTCTCCTCTAAAAGAAGTTCAAAAGAGCTTTTCATCAGACAAAAATATTGCTATGCCTTTGTGTGAAAAAGATGAGTCATCAATATTTACAACATGAAAAATGCATCAGCATGCCTATATTTGCTAAAAGCTAGTTTTGTCAACTTTAGGAGTGCGTTAGCATATAAATGACCTCAAATGACTTAAAACCACAATACTATTATATTATTATATTATTATTATATACATGCATCTGTATGGCATCACAGGAAGTGATTCAATCAGACTGACTTGGCATAAAAGTGATACAGTAGTGTGCACTAGACACTGGGAGGGGTTGCAGAACCCAAACTGTGTGTATTTTTATACTTCCATTTAGTCTGATTGCTGATAGTCTGATTTCCCCGTTGTGTTTGCTGAGTTCTCACCCCCTGATGCTAATACAGTAGCTTTGGGATCAGAGAACGATTAGGCGAGACGTGA